GTACGAGACCCGATATTGCGTATGCTGTGAGTGTCACAAGCAGATATCAGTCTTACCCCGGCCCGGCTCACTGGAAAGCCGTGAAAGATATCCTCAAGTACTTATGAAGGACTAAGGATATATTTTTGGTTTATGGGGGTGCCGAATTGAAATTAGAGGGTTTTACCGACTCTAGTTTTCAATCGGATGTGGACGACTCAAAGTCGAACTCTGGATTTATATTCACGCTTAATGGTGGTGCCGTGTGTTGGAAGAGTTCCAAGCAAAGCACGACGGCCGATTCCACTACCGAAGCGGAATACATTGCAGCGTCCGAAGCTACAAAAGATGGGACTTGGATAAGGAAGTTCATCCAAGAGTTGGTGTCGTTCCTTGTGCTAGTGATCCAGTACCGTTGTACTCTTATAACACCAGAGCCTTGGCGCAAGCTAGGGAGCCGAGATCTCATCAGAAGTCGAAGCATATTCTGAGAAAGTATCATGTGATCCGAGAGATCATAGATAGAGGTGAAGTTAAAGTAGAATGAGTCACCTCGGAAGAGAACGTTGCAGACCCCTTTACGAAGCCTTTACCAAGATCGGTCCATGAGAAACATCGATAGTCGATGGGATTGCGATTCATGGGTAGTTGGCTTTAGGTCAAGTGGGAGATTGTTAGAGTAGGTGACCAACAAGCCAACTTGTCGTTGTGGTCTTTCGTATTTATTATGGTAACACTACAAGAGAATTTGGTTTTAGCGACCCTAAGGTATGGTCGCTGAAAGTTCAAAAATGGTCGTTAAAATATATAGTGACCAAATAAAAATGGCCACGACAGGTTAGCTACTAAAAGTATCCAGTGACGACTTATTTAGTTGGTCTGTAAAAGCATATATTTTGTGACCATTTAATAATCGTCACTGAAGATGTAATCATCACCGACAAATTTCTACTCGCTAGTATGACGATTTATGGTTGTTGTAGTATGAACATTGTCGCTATAGATACACATACATCGACCAAATATTTTGTGGTCGCTAAAGATGTAATCATCAGCGACACATTTTCACTCGCTCATATGAATATTTATTGTCGTTGTAGTGTTAACATCGTCGCTATAAGTATACATACAATGACCATATGATTTTGGTTGTTAAAAGAATAGTCGCTATAGATACATATACAACGACCATTGGTTTTTGGTTGGTAAACAATAGTCGCAGTAGATACACATACAATGACCATACTATTTTGGTTGTTAAAAGAATAGTCGTTGTAAATACACATATAATGACCATATCATTTTGGTTGTTAAAAGAATAGTCGCTATAAATACACACATAATGACCATATCGATTTGGTTGTTAAAAGAATAGTTGCTATAGATACATATACAACGACCATTTGTTTTTAGTTGGTAAACAATAGTAGCAGTAGATACACTTACAATGACCATGTTATTTTGGTTGTTAAAATAATAGTCGTTGTAAATACACATATAATGACCATATGGTTTTGGTTGTTAAAAGAATAGTCACTATAAATACACACATAATAACCATATCGTTTTGGTTGTTAAAAGGATCGTCTCTATAGATACACACACAACGACCATTGTTTTTTTGTGGTAAATAATAGTTGCAATAGATGTGTACATACAATGACCATTTATTTTTGGTGGTAAATGAATATATGATTACCAACCAATTAGATGGTTGTAAAAATCATTGCACGGTTGCAATAATTTTCATATTTCAGATGTTTCAATAACGAGATAAACCAATCTAGCATCGCAAAATCTACCATATTCAGTGACTGTAAAATAATAACTAGTTGCGAAATCATATATATTAAAGACCAAGAAATGGTGACAAAATAATACAAATATTTTTGAAAAAAATAATTTAACTAGTTACTAATTATTATAAAGTGCTAAATGACTATAAAAACATATACATTAACCTCATTTAGTAGCCAAGATAGTGATGCACTTCACACGAAACCTTACTCGTATAATGGAGGAAACAAACTACTCTTCATGATTGTCTCGAGAGCCGTCGATCGTAATTGTAATTGGCTCATTGGGATCTAAAGTCGGGCCTGCCTTGACGGGTAAATATGGTGAAAGAAATATAACCATCTACATGTTTTTTTAGGCCAATGAGTAGCATTTGCAAACCTGACAACACAGACCAGTAACATCACTATAAGAAAATCTAGTGCATATATATATTCAAATTCAGGGAACAAAGTTAAAGCATATCCACACCACGTAATAAGGTCAACAAGTATAATAAACAAAATTTCACATTTTATAACAAATTATATATAAGTTAATGGTAAAACAAAAATGTTGGTATGATTCTCAATTACTTAATTTAGATAAGGCATATGGAATCAAAATAGCTAATGTACATGGTTGGAACTTACCAGATACCACAAGACCCATTAGAATAAATGTCTGCATTAAAAATAATAAAGCCTAGTGTCAAAATAAATGATGGATGTGTACATGTAAAACAAATTTTAATAGCATAGATATATAAAGGGTAAACATATGAACATTATCCTTGCAATTTCATCTATTTCCAAAATACAATAATATGTTTGTACTATAAATACAAACCGGGCATTTCACCTCACCCCTGTCCCGGACTCAACTAAATAGTCGAAGTATGTGCATCAAAATTCAGTATACTGGTTAAACTATCTTCTTCACGATGAAATCCCGACAAGCCACAAAGATCATACACACATGCGCGCGCGCACACACACACACACACACACACACACACACACACACACACACATATATATATATATATATATATATATATATATATATAAGAGATAACACGTATATTACCTTATAATAAGACGACACCAGCACATCACTAAAGAGAATACAAGATCCTCCGTCAGTCCGATCAATATAGCGAGATAGAGCACCAGCCCCGATCACAAGAACATTATTGAAGCCACCCCCTAAAGTACGAAAAATGTACATAGTTTAGATTAATACAATTAACGCTTCCACCTAATTAGTATACTTTTCGATATATATTATATATATATCATATATCTATATATATATATATATATATATATATATATATATATATATATATATATATATATATTACCTCAAATGTAGCAACCAGGTGACATTAGGCCCAATAAAAAACCACAACACGCGACTGTAACATCGTAAGGTAATGAATTGTTTTTGCATCCAAGCGTTTTTCGAATCTAGAAACAATTACAAGAAAAACTTGCAAATTCTATAAAAAGAAAAAAAAGAGAAAAAAAACATCACCATTACTAAGATATATGGCATTAAAAATAAAGAAAAAGATACCTGAGGAGCACTGGCAAATAAATTTTCGGGGGTTGAAGTGCAGAGCAAAACAAGGTTCACTTCATTCGGGCAACCTCTGCGCCATCTGGAGAGCTTTCTTTGCAGCTTCTACAGTTAAATCTGATTACAAAAACTTGAAAAATAAAATTGATATACACACACACACATATATATATATATATATATATATATATATATACAAATTATAGTACATCATATGAGACATAAGATTTATTTAGAACAATAAGGAAGAAAAATAATAACACACAGGTGCATGATATGCTGAGGCATGTTTGAAATTGGGTTCGATTTTACGACTTTAGTATGTGCAAGAAGAAAATAAAAATTCACTTAAAAAATAAATTACTTTACGATTCATGGTAGGCTGACTTTTAAACCACTGCGATACAAAAATAAAATAGAACTTACTAAAACCGCAATTCTTGTATAATCAATTTTTACTAAACAATTACTAAAAAATTATCCCAAAAAACGGTCCAAATTCAATCTAACCCAAACATTGCCCACCTCATGCATATTTTCCAACGTTAACATTAAGAAATACTCCATTCATCCAACAACCACAATTATCATAATCATCAAATAATACAGCTGAAAATTCAAAAAAGAAATAGGGCAATAGCATGACAATTGTGGAGGATGAGACAAAATTGTTACACACAAGAAAAATCAGCGAAGGAGATACTTACAATGATCATATCCCAAAATAGGCTTATAAATTTTGTCCTAATACAACTCGTGACATTTTCGTATCTACCAAATGTGAAAATTACAAGAATAAGGACTTGATAAATAATGAAACGAATTAAACTATAATCCATTAAAATTATTCATCATAAGACATGTTTAAGACTAACTTGAGTTATTACATCATCAGTTTGACTAACTTAGCAAATGGCTATGAAATCTATTTACCTGAACAAGCAGAATGAAATGGCTATGAAGTTCATTTACCTAGAACATGACTAACAAAAAAGTAAAGATCTTCAAACATGAAATTTGAACTGACTACCAATTAATGTTTTCACATTGCACCAATAAGAAAAAATGTATACACATAATTTAATTTCAACAAATAAAAGCATGTCCAATCAATAGAAGATGCACATAAATACATTGATCATTCATATGTACTAGACATACATACAATTGAACAATAGTACAAGTACCAACTTTTTCGATTGAAAATAAATCTAATATTGAATACATACCAAGGACAATGAAATATGTTTTCTCATCTCTTACATCCTCATCCTGAGTTCCGCTTAGTTCAATCATTGACTCCCATCATACACAAAAGGCAAATATGTCAAAAAACAATCAAGTAATATAAACTTAATGAAATATATGGTCATAGAATGCAACAGAGTATAATATAACTGTAAATTACTGTCAAATTAGCATTTTTTTTGGGGATAAAAGAGTCAAATCACTTGAGAGAAAACAAATAATGCCAAAAAGAAAAACATAAAAACTATACCTTTTCCGCCGGGTGAGTGACATTAATTCTTGGACAACAACATTTTCGTAGTTTGTAATTATGCCTGCACTAGTCCACCGAGCATGTCTCTAAGATATGGAATAAAATCGAAGGCACCCATGTCTTGAAATCTTCTCATAACTGCAAAGGGTAGGGGGTGGTACAGTATAAGTAGATCAAGAAATTTAATCAAAATGGATAAATATAAACAATTATAGAGCAAAAGTTATTTGAAACTCTTTATACCTATATATTTTTACTATTCCAAGTCGCTATCTATGTTAGCGTGAGATGCAACTTCATCGTCGCTGCTCCAATATTCGACTAGAGTCTCGTCTTCTCCATCATCATCTTCTTCTTCATCTTTATCATCACGAACACGTGGATGGATTATTTTTTCAAGAATTTCGATCTCCAATGGAGCTTCATCATTACGGTCAATCGATCCAATCTCTGGAGCACTATCTTGAACGTCAATTAGAGCACAATTTTCTTGTTGATATGCGTCATTCACGTCGGGTTCATTCCCATCGGTAAATCGAATGAATGATGGGTCAAAAAGATGTCGATGTTGTACATGTTGAACAACTTTCCAATTCCCACCTAATTTTGTATCACTAACATAGAACACCTGGGATACTTGATTTGCTAAAATATAAGGTTCACTTTCATACCACAAATTACCCACATTTACGCTTGTAAGATCACTATCTATCTTTATAATTTTGTTTCGGTCCAAATTAAACCATTTGCAACTGAATAGTACGCATCGGTAACCATAAGTATAGCTCAACTCGATCACATCTTCTAAAACACCATAAAATTTGATCATTTTACCTTTATGAAGAGAGTGTGTACAAACACCACTATTTTGTGTCACACGTCTAGAATCTCTTTTGCTTGTTAGATACTTGACACCTTCTACTATGCACCCACCACACTTATTAATACGATAATCAGGCCCACAGGCAAGTGCAATAAGTTCATCTGTAGCTTCAGGGGATTTAATGCTCCTCAACTTTTTAATCTAATTTTACAAAATAATGCGAGTTAACTTGTGTTTAAAAAAGAAACTATTAATTAATGAATAAAATAAAAATATAATTTGTAAATCTTACTCGATTATCAAACCATGCAGCAAACTCTTTCTTTTGTCTAGCCTCCCAACCAATTGGATGTTGTTGTTTTAGTTCTTCTTCATGCTCTCTGAATAATGCAAAAATAACCCATCAAATAATGTTAAAGTGCTATTATATTATTAAAATATTTTTTCTTACCTCAAATATGAATCTAACTCCACGCAGTTATTCAAGACAAACCAATGCAAAGAACTATATTGTTGAGGGGTCAACTGTACAAAATCTGTTTCTCCAAAAGTTCGAATTTTACTTTGAAAAACAGATAATGTTGCATTTGGATGTTCCTCCCCATCATAATTTCTTTGATCTCTATTGTATTTAGTCTCAATGTCATGGAGATACAATGAACAAAAACTCAAACACTCTTTCACGATATAAGCCTCCGCAATTGAGCCTTCAGGACGAGCTCTATTTCGAACCATTCCTTTTAAACTACCAAGATACCTATAGTAATATCAAAATACATATACATGAGACACATGACACAAATGAAAAAAGATAAGCTATTCAACTTTAGCAAACTAAAGAAAAAGTAAAACATCTAAATTTGTTACCTTTCAATAGGGTACATCCATCTATAGTGAACAGGTCCACCAATCTTTGCTTCTTGTGCCAAATGAATTGCTAGATGGACCATCACGTCAAAGAAAGCAGGTGGAAATATCATTTCTAACTTGCTTAATATTATAGGAATTATTTTTTCCAAATTGTCAAGGACATCCAAGCTTAATTTTCTAGAACATAACTGTCTGAAGAAACTTGCCAACTCGGTAATAGCATTAAGAACATCTTTTTGTAGGTAACCACGCAATCCTACAGGAAGCAAACGTTGTAATAGAACATGACAATCATGACTTTTCAACCCAGTTATCTTACCATCTTTTCTTATTCTCATTCGTAATTCCAAATTACGAATCTTGGACCCAATCATTTTGACTTCCAATCATGCAAAGATAAACCATTTTATCTCTTATCGTTTATTCAAAGATCTCATGTGCACGAGCAGTGTGACCCTCGATGGTTCAGGTGTAAGCTAGCTGTGGGCCCACAACCCTTTGTGGTCAAAACTCGTCCCTTAGAGTTACGATTAAGATGAAGCTCGCTTCACCTTAATCATCCAACGAATCAAGATTGGCGTCTAGCAACTACGCGTCATGATTCCTAGATACAAATGAAGTGCCTGCAAGAACCTTCAGATATAGTTAACGTACAGTACGGTCCCTTCGATTCATATGTCCCGATTGAACTAGAGGCATTGGTTCGTCGAGACCTCTTTATATGTTCAATGACGGTGCGATCGTTCTAAGTGTTGTAATCGTTACGTGCATGACTTAGATAATCGAATTATCTAATCCCCACTTAGTCAGCTCTGGCCAGAGACTTAGAATCATTACAAACTTTCAAAACACACAGGACATCCAAGACTATTCTAGCGATCGAATCCCCGACTACAATGCACAGACCTCCCACTAGATGACGGACTGCACGAACACTGGCTTTTGGGATGGTCCTCAGTGGAACTCAGGGACAGGTCAAGATACAACTGGTCCTCTAATGAAGTCACGGTTATGTCTAAGTCATAAGGACTAATGGTGTACAACTATACCATAGATATCTCTACTCGATTATTGGGAACCACTTAGAGATTTCTAGGGTGAGGGAGTTCAGTGAACTCGTCAACTTACGAGCACCCACTTATGCATGCCGATATCACAATACCGTTTACTGATGAGATGCAGTACACATACACTAAGTGCTAGTCTCTTAATGGGAAAGGCCGATATCCTCATTGGTGGCGTAACCCTTCGACTAGGAACATGTTTAATAGTTATAATACTTAAGTAAATATCTCACGATCCTAACGATCAATGACTTGTACTTGGAATAACTGTAAGGACTATATCTATGCTTGTGACAAAGGGACAAAGATATAAAATGCCAAGGTGTTTTATCATTAATACGAATAAAGGTTCGTTTATTACCATAATAAATACGAGAGACCACAACCACATGTTGGCTTGTTTGTCACCTACTCTAACAATCTCCCACTTGACTTAAAGCCAACTACCCATGAATCGTAATCTCATCGACTCTCGATGTTTCTCGTGGACCGATGTCGATAAAGGCTTCGTGACGGGGTCTGCAACGTTCTCTTCCGAGGTGACTTGTTCTACTTTAACTTCACCTCTATCAATGATCTCTCGGATCACATGATACTTTCTTAGAATATGCTTGGACTTCTGATGAGATCTCGGCTCCTTAGCTTGCGCCAAGGCTCCGGTTTTATCACAGTACAACAGTACTGGATCACTAGCACTAGGAATCTTGGATGAACTTCCTTATCCAAGTCCCTTCCTTTGTAGCTTGAGACGCTGCAATGTATTCCGCTTCGGTAGTGGAATCAGCCGTCGTGCTTTGCTTGGAACTCTTCCAACACACGGCACCACCATTAAGCGTGAAATTAAATCCAGAGTTCGACTTTGAGTCGTCCACATCTGATTGAAAACTAGAGTCGGTAAAGCCCTCTAATTTCAACTCGGCACCCCCATAAACCAAAAATATATCCTTTGTCCTTTGTAAGTACTTGAGGATATCTTTCACGGCCTTCCAGTGAGCAGGCCTGGGGTTAGACTGATATCTGCTTGTGACACTCACAACATACGCAATATCGGGTCTCGTACATAGCATGCCATACATTATGCTTCCTATCGCAGAAGCATAAGGCGTCCTTTTCATCTCCTTGATATCACTAGGTGTTTGAGGACACATAGATTTCGAGAGACGAACCCCATGGGACATTGGCAAGAATTGTTGGGATAAAAGCACGTGTACGCAGCGGAAAAACAAAAATTTTATGTGATTTAAACAACTTTAAAGCACATAAACACATGCCCGATAAATTAAATAATATCAAATAATTGCGTACCTTTGCGCTTCCAGCTAATTTAAAACCAACATACATGCTCGCAACGATTAAAACGATTACACGTAATCACATAAAATCATACGAAAGCAAATATGAATATACAGTTTAAACGTAAACGAATCAAAACAAGAGATTCGTGTGTTTACCTCTTGAAGCGTGAGGTAGGAGCGCTAAGCAAGTCGAGATTGCTAAAGAAACCAATCCGTACAATCCGGGGCAGCAGCGGTGCAGCGGCAGCAGCGGTGAGACGGCCACGGCGGCGCGTGTAACTCACGCGCAGTCTTCGGGCGGCGCGTGGGGTTGCGTGCGGCTTTGGCTCGTGTGCTGCTCCTCGATTCTTCGATCTTCGATCTTCCTCCTCTTGGATTTCACCTCGTATACTTTGATCTACTAAACACGTGGCACTAGACACGTAATAGTTAGAAAAACGGAAGAAAAAAAGAAGGAAAGAAACTACCGAAAGCAATCGGCCAATGAACGACCGATTCCGGCTAGGTTCCGGCGACGGCGCCGGTGATGGCCGCGGGAGAGAGGCCGAGAGAGAGAGGGGGAGCGGCTAGGGTTAGGTTAGGTCTTGTGTTTTTGTGCAAGGCCTATAAATCAAGTATTTATAGTCCCTTGCATAAAACCCTAACGGGCTTAAGTTGGACCGGGCCCAACAGCTTAAGCTCGTTAGTTCATTTACTTGCTCGTCTCTCTCAATTCAATGATCGGAAAATTGCAACGATTACATTTTCGGAATGATTATAATATCATCGTCATTACGAGTGCCAACTCTCAATTTCCAACTTTCCAAAAGTGGAAACCCTAGTTCAGTGCACTTTCTAAATTTGGAAACTTCCCGATTTAGAAAGTGAACTAAGATGGTCGCCTATTCTTTTCCTTTTTCTTATTCTCATTCATAATTCCAAATTACGAATGTTGGATCCAATCATATTCACTTCCAATAATGCAAAGATAAACTATTTTATCTCTGACCGTTTATTCAAAGATCTCATGTGCACGAGCAGTGTGACCCTCGATGGTTCAGGTGTAAGCTAGCCGTGGGCCCACAACCCTTTGTGGGCAAAACTCGTCCCTTAGAGTTATGATTAAGATGAAGCTCAATTCACCTTAATCACCCAACGAATCAAGATTGGCGTCTAGCAACTACGCGTCATGATTCCCTAGATACAATAGAAGTGCCTGCAAGAACCTTTAAATATAGTTAACGTACAGTACGGTCCCTTTGATACATATGTCCTGATTGAACTAGAGGCATTTGTTTGTCGAGACCTCTTTATATGTTCAATGACGGTGCGATCGTTCTAAGTGTTGTAATCGTTACGTGCATGACTTAGAGAATCGAATTATGTAATCATCACTTGGTCAGCTCTGGCCAGAGACTTAGAATGATAACAAACTTTCAGAACACACAGGACATCCAAGACGTTTCTAGAGGTCGAATCCCCGACTACAATCACATACCTCCCACTAGATTTCGGACTGCACGAACACTGGCCCTTGGGATGGTCCTCGGTGGAACTCAGGGATGTTGGAGTAGGTGACCAACAAGCCAACTTGTGGCTGTGGTCTTTCCTTTTATCTTGTAATAAAACAATCGTTTTTCGTTCGTAATAATAAAACATTTCATTTGGCATTCTATATCTCTTATCCCATGCAAGCAGCATAGATATAGTCCTAACGAGTTACTCTATTACTGTGAGTTGATCTAGTAGAATCATGAGATAACTCAGTAATGTAATGTAACTGTTAAACCTTGTTCCTAGCCGATGGGTTACGCCAATAATGAGGATACCGGCCTTTCCCTTTTGAGACTAGAACTTAGTGTATGTGTACTGCGTCTCATCAGTCCTTAATGTTGTGACATCGGCATACTTGAGTGGGTGCTCATACTAGATGAGTTCATAGAACTCCCTCGCCCTAGAAATCTATAAGTGGTTCTCATTCATCGAGTAATAGGTTTCTAAGATATAGTTGTACACCATTAGTCCTTAAGACCCAGACATCACCGTGACTTCACTAGAGGACCGATTGTATCGTGACTTGTCTCTAAGTCCCACCGCGGACCACTCCAAGGGCCAACGTTCGTGCAATCCGAAATCTAGTGTGAAGTCTGTGCATTGTAGTAGGGCATTCGAGCGCTTGAGTAGTCATGGATGTCCTGTGTGTTCTGACGGTTTATAATCCAAGGAATCTCTGGCCAGAGTTGATAGCGGGGTGATTAGGGAAATGTGTTTCCCTAAGTCGCACACGAACAGATTTATAATACCTAGAACGTTCGCACGGTTATTGAACTTTATAAGAGGTCTCGGTGAACCAATGCCTCTAGTTCAATCGGGACATGTTATGCGAAGGGATCGTACTGTACGCTAACTATATCATAAGGTTCTTGCAAGCACTCGACTTGTATCTAGGGAATCATGATGCGTAGTTGCTAGACGCCAATCTTGATTCGTTGGGCACCGATTTGATTGGGGATTAGGTAAAATTAGTTTTACTCTAATCAGGACTCTTGGGAGGAGTTCGTATAAGAACAATGTGTTGTTCGAATCACAAAGAGTTGTGTGCCCACGGCTAGCATACACCTGAACCATTGAGGGTCACACTTCTCGTGTAATATAGATCCTTGATAACAACAAGCATAGATTAATGTGTTAATATTTGAACGATTGGATGTCGATAGGATTGAATCCAAGATTCGTAATTTTGGATTGCGAATCGGAATAAACGTAGAGGAA